AGTAGGATAACCTACCTGAGGGTGATCCTTAAGTATCAGATCCTGGTACTCCTAAAAAATTCCTAAAATAACTGATCATATTAATTGTGAATATAAAATGCATCATTCTACTAGTACCAATACAGCAACAGCTTAGTGTGTATTTATCACAGGCTATGAGCAGTAAGTATTTCCTATCTCTACCAAAGTTGACAAGTATAATAATAATATAAATGGTGTGGATATTGCCAATCAACTCTACTTCTCCTATCTAATTCAGCTTAAAATACTTCACAACTGGCTTCCTCTCTTTTTCTGACATCTTGATGCTATCATAGTTAATACTTTTTATCTTATATTGATTGCAAAAGCCTCACACCAGGCACCATACCTTTTATATTGATCTTGCCTACAATTTATTGACATTATCACTGCAGCCCTCTAAACTATGAATTTGTACTACCTATAAAAACAAGACAAATACTCCTTGTACTAGCCAGTACAAGTATGATCTTCCTCTGGTCTTCTTGAGTTTAAATTACTACTAGTAACTTATTTATCTCCCTCATAGGAAACAACTATAGCATGTGTTCTACTACTTCAGTGAATGGAAGTACTGCCAAGCTTGCTTTATCTGCTCTATTTGTTCACTTGCATTTTGTAATTCTGCTTGCTTTAATTCTTTTCACTTACAATAATATTCTTCTCCTTTATTTTTTTTTTTACAAACTCAATTGTATTATTATATGGATTTGTGAATATGTGGATATCTAGATATGTGGATATGTGGATATGTGGATATGTGGATATGTGGATATGTAGTTAAATGAGTGTGTGGCTTAGAGATATACAGTTATAAGGTATTGGCTTTGTTATTACATATGGCGATTAGGTATTATGTATCTGAAATTTGGTTTCTCAGTTTTCTTTTATATATTTTACTACCTAGCATGCAGGAGTTGGTATATTGGCAGGCTAGAGGCTTTAGAAATTACAGGGTATAGACTGCTCAGTATAGTACTGAGTTGCTAGTAACAAGTGCTGCGAAAACTTAGCTATTATCTGATTTTCTGCCAAGACCATTGCGACAGTATTTCGCAATACTGTAGCCTAATCAGGATTAGTTTATTGCAACTTAATGTTTTAGCTAACTTTAATGTGAACTATAAGCCAATCTCCACCATCTTTTGAAATGCATCTCACCTAAAAAGAGTATAGCAGGATGACCATTAAGACCATTATTGCCTATTTTCTTATCTTTTTGCTTTATTTTTCCATCCAAGTAATAGCATTAACTACACCTTTACGCCCTTTAAGAGTTAGATCTCTCAATATACAGTATTCAGGATCCTAGCCAATTATCATAAAAGGTCCTCGGGCACAATTACAACCAGGTTCCAAGCCAAAACCACTAGCCAATCGAGTATATAAGGTATAGTGACTAATTAAAAGAGTGTGCAGAACCTATAGTCAGGAATGGAAGCTGGAGGTTTTGATGTTCCTGATTCACCATCGTGTTCCAGTCAATAATAGCAATCTCAGTAGTGAATATAGACATCCAACAAATGCAGAGACAGTATCATATTGGAAGATTCCTGAGAATACAATCTACGAGTGGTGAACAAAGCAGGATGACATTTTGGATATGAAAACAAGTTCTCAGTGCTATACGGTCAACACCTGGAGTTGTGCATGGCTAGATATGGAGGAAGGGCTCTTCCGTTCATTTATTACACAAAGAGAAAGTGGCTGGCTGGTTAGAAGAAGGTGGTTTCGCTGTACAGCAATAGCCTTATTCAAGAAGTACTACAGCACTACACATCCCTACCTTTTTGTCTTCTCCTCAGGATGGTTTAATGGATTTCCACAACCTTGGAATATTTTATGCCGAGTATTGACAAAAAAGACATCTATATTACCAGAAGAATATAAGCAACCAGTAGTTAATTGGCTTTGACTTAATCGGCGTAATTCTCAGCCCCGAAGTTTTCTCAAACAGGAAGGTCTCATTTCAGATATTGGATGCTAGCAACTCAGCAATATTCTTAATTTAGATGAAACACTAATCCCATTTGAATATTTGGATGGACAGACATACGATATTAAAGGATCACGTACAATTTGAAGAAAAACAGATAGAAGTGGTTGAGATAAGCACCAGGCAATATTGGTTCTCTATATCTTTGTGGATAGTATATCACGAATCAAACTAAAGTTAATCTTCCACGTGAAAACGGGTGATAGTATTGCTCAAAAAGAGAGTTATCAATGGTCCAAGAACGTAACAGTAGAATTCAACGCAACTGCCTATAATAATGAAGAACTCTTTAATCAGTTTATATATGAAGAATTAATAACAGCACTAAATACATCTTATCCCCGAATACTGAGTCACAAGCCCCCACCGAGTCACCAGCCCCCCCCAACCGACATTAGTCATAACAAAACTCACCTCGTTCGATCCTGCAGTCTTCTATTAATGGACCTAGCTGCGTTCCCTATTACAGACACAAAGCTTGCCATGCTTCAAGAGAATAATATCGTACCGTCAATCATACCAGGTGGATGTAATGGATTGTTACCGCCATTAGATACTGCAGTTAATAAGCCATTTTAAGAATATCTTAGGAAGAAGACAGAGGCTTACCTGGATAAGCGAGTAGCTGTTGAAGATGTTGGAAAGTGGTCTGTAAGCAAGAAACAAATTATGACTACTCATGTGGTCTCACGAGCCTGAAATGCCTTTTGTCAGCAGAAACAATACCTGATTGTTAAGGCATTCCGGGATATTGGTATGATCTTACCTATTGATGGTAGTCATGATGAGGAATTTAAGATCAAAGGCTTCACTGCTGCTAATGTTAATATTGGGGACCGGACTCAAGGTCTTCCTATTCCACAATGTAATCAGCCTTCTCAAAGTTACCGCTCTCTCCCAGTTGAGACTTCCGAGCATGACAACCTTCATTAAATTTGACAATGTGAAGGCTATTGCAGCCCAGGAGCCAACCAGTACAACACCGGCTACCAACTCACAAGCACTCCAATCAGTGGAGATATTATCAATTTTATTATGATGGATACCGAGAATTGACAATCTTCCATTACAGTACTTTTAACTTTTTCTAATGATTTGTATGTTAGTATATAATTACATTTTCTGATAGTTAGTCTTATCTTACCTTTTTGGGCCTCAATATTATCACACTAAAGCCCCTTTCTCTCTCTCTCTCTCTTCCTCATTTTTTTTTATCTCTTCGCTGGTATACTGTAGTAATTAGTAGCAGGTGTTATGGGCAGCCTCAGCCTAAAATCCTGTGGAGTATATTAGCATTATTATTAGCTTTTCTTTTCACCTTGCCATCTCTCTTTTAGTATAGGGGGGGGGTAGTGGGAATGGGTGGTATTGGTGTTTGCAGGTGAAAAGAGTGCAATGGTTGCTTGAACGTGGTGACTTTGAGGTGGTGGGTTAGGGTTTTCAGGACCCCTATCTGATATTGTCGCCATGCAGATCATGGCTTGGCGGAAAACCGGATAATAGCAGATAATACGGTATTAGACACGACTGTCCTACAAAGAAAAGTCACCCTTACACCCTAGCCAGGTACCGAGCACTGCACACCCACCGGCCGAGAATCAGACGATAATTTCTCGGGGACTGTGCCGTATCATACTGAAACTCGAAGCGTCCCCAAATGACCAATAAATATGATCTATCATAATCAGGTCATCTGATAATCTAATATCTACCGTATTTCTTGAATCACAAGGCACCTATCTGATAACGCATTGGCGATCGGCGTGATGGGTTGTACCGCTGCGGCATTCCTTGCTCAAGTCACCAAATCTATGCAGTTCAAAGCTAGACTACTCGTTCAGTAAAGCTACTTTTGAGTGTATTATGTAACCATATCACATCACGTGTTTACAGGAAAGCGTCCATAGCTAGGGATATACCAGTGCTTGTAGATCGAAGATTTAAATTTGTACGCTTGGAATGTAGGAGGAGCGCCAGTAGAATTTATGCCCGCCGAAGCGGGGAGAGAACTTGAAGGCCATTTCTTACGATCAATTTGGCCTGCAACTACGGAAACTCGGCTATCCCTGCCGGTGAGTTTACGGTGGGATTCACTAGAGTCGTGCTTAACCTTCCATCAGTTCGACTAACAACTAGGGAACAACTCACTACCGGTGAGGCCTCATGAGCAGCGCATCAGGATAACTTTGCATGGGTTCCTCGCCAAACGGAAATCACCAGACTATCGCTAGAAGGGTGAAGCAAGCCTTGCGTCTTTTTCACTTGCTGTCCGATTTTCCCCTTTTCCGAATTCCTGCCCGAAGAATAGCAAAGGGCTTCACCCCCGCCGCACTATTCCCCTTCACTGGACAAGTATGTCCTCATCCCCCCCACCGCCGGGTCTCCACATTCGCCAAACGCACCGCCCCCAGGACCTCGAGCTAGACTTGCTGTTAGAATATGCGGGCCGACCGACCGTAACTCCTTCCCTGTCTTCCACCTCCACCGCCGTTCCTGTCTTATACTCCCACACACGTGATTCCACTGTCCCCTTCTCACCCGGGAGAACTTTGACTGAGGGTGTGTTGAGACTACATTTTAATATTGTGCCTGGGGATCCAGGGGAGCAATACTCGGATACATTGCTGATTCTTTAGTGCCCACTTCTCAGGTGGAGTCATCTGATATTCTATCCTCCACCCCGGCCTTATCACACATAGAAAATATCCCTCACTTTCCCACCCTATCATCGGGACTGCTGAACACCTCTCGTTTCTCTACTGCTGTTACACTTGAGCAAGCGCCATCATCATCAAACCTACCAGTCCATCCCGCCTCTTCTGCACACTCGCCTTCACCCCTTTCCCCTGCTTCGCTACAAACATTGCAAGACCTCGTTCCTGACGCCGCTCGTACGTTGTCCGGTCCCATGAAATCTGCTAATTTTCCACTGTTACGAACGTCCCCAGCTATAGGTACCGGAAGCTATGGCGCCCTTCCGACCATGGGTAATGGCCTTGGGGGAAGTAGCTACACTGGGTCGGCTCCCTCCTCGACTACCGAGGAGGAGGAAGCGGAGGAGAGTATACCTGAAGCCGAGGACGATAGCATTGTTGAAGAGGTTGGGGTGGCAGAAGAGACGGAAGGGAACGGACTTCTTTCTCTCGAGGGGCGCGGCGGAGGTTCTGAGGGGACTCGAAATAACCGGCGAAGACAAACCGACACCGTTGGGTTGGGGTTACGGGAGCGAGAGAGTAAGGATACGGGTAAATGGGTGATGGACGGGAGTGCAGATACGAACGGTGAACATTGTTATGGTATTCTCGGTGACTCTGATGAGGAGGAGATTGGCGATGATCCTATTGATAACTCACCGTAAGTTGACTTACTCTGTCCAGGTTTTTACTTTCCGGTTCCTAGACCAGCTCTGCGCTTTGACCTCTTGTTTGTGAATTCTAACTTGTTTCTGATATTTAGTTATCCTGAGGTACGAGCTTCGGTATCGGCGAAAGATGATCCAGACATTTTGATAAATACCCCTAGAATGTGGGCATTGGCCATGTTCTTTTCCTTAGTTGGCTCTGCGACAAATCTGTTCTTTTCTCTTAGATATCCCTCCGTGTCAATTACTCCGGTGATTGCTCTTCTTCTAGCGCACCCATTAGGAAAGCTCTGGGACCACGTTTTTCCCGAGGCCGATGCGACTGAAGTCGTCAAGTCGGAGGACGGATGGTGGGGGAGGTTAAAAACGCGGCTTGGCCAAGGTCGGTGGAACCAAAAGGAGCATAGTTGTGTCTATATATCCAGTAATGTATCGTTTGGTTTCGCTTTCGCTACTGATGTAAGTATCTTGTGAGCGGTTTGTCCGCGCGTGAGCTAAAGATCCTCAGGTTATTGTGGAACAAACGCACTTCTACCATCAAAACCCAGGAATCACATATCAGATACTCCTTACTTTGTCTACGCAGATTCTGGGCTATACTTTCGCAGGCCTGACAAGACAATGGCTTGTCTACCCTGGCGCAATGATCTGGCCTGGGACCCTCATGTCCACGGCTATGTTCACAACTCTTCATGGGGAGGAAAACAAGGTTGCAAATGGGTGGAGGATATCACGGTTTAAGTTTTTCGTTGGTCTCCATATCAGATGATCTGATTGTTTCAATCGCAACTGACTGGCATTTTCGTGGTTAGCTTGTGGTATTCGCCGGAGGCTTCTTCTGGTACTTTGTTCCTGGTCTTCTGATACCAGCACTGAGCTATTTCAACGTTGTCACTTGGTTTGCGCCAGACAATGTTCCTATCGCCAATCTGGTATTATTTCCCCATCCTCCTCCACGCTCTCGAAAATTAGATAAACAAAGTCTTTGAGATGGTGTGAACTCTAATCTAAAGGCTCTGCGTGCTACAGTTTGGCGTAGCCTCGGGCTTGGGAATGTTCCCTCTGACCTTTGATTGGGCGCAAATATCCTATGTCGGGTCGCCGCTGATGACACCTTTCTGGGCTGCAGCAAATGTAGTCGCTGGTTTGGTCGCGGTCATGTGGGTAGCGGCCCCAATCTTATGTTTGCCCCTCCCCTTCCTTCTCCTTATCCCCCACTTTTTCATCATTTTTTCCTTTTTTGACACCCTGCATGGGCAGTGGCTAATGTATGCATCTGCCTTACCAATGGAATTTTTTAGATTACGGGAACGCATTTTATAGTTCATACATGCCAATTCTTTCGAGTGCCGTCTTTGATAATACCGGAAGTCCGTACGATGTATCCAAGATCCTTACGAAGGATTTCTTGTTTGACGAGTTGGCTTACAAGAACTACAGTCGAGTCTTCATGCCCATCACGTGATTTACCCCCCCTCCCTTCACTGTCCTGGGATTTTAGTCCAGAAATAGATGGAGTTATATGGATCATCTGACTGTGAAATTGCAGCTACATCCTTTCCTATGGGTTACAGTTCGCAGCATTGACTGCCCTCGTTACCCATACCGCCTGCTGGCATGGTAAAGACATCTGGCGGCAATGGGGCCGAGCCCGGAGGGGGTTTTCGAGCGGGAGAGTCGACGAATCCGTCGTGCCACCGGCGCCCGGCGCTGAGTACGTTCCCATCGCAAATGGGAATGCAAATAGGAGTGGTGCGAGTAGTGCAAGGAGGAGGGGTAGGCGCGATAGGCGTCGTAGCATCCATAGCGATAGAGAATGGAACGAACTCGCCCAGCGCGAGGACGTGCATATGCGACTTATGCGCCGGTATCGGGAAGCCCCCACGAGTTGGTACTTGGCTACTTTTGTCGTGATGATTGCAGTAGGGATATTCGTAGTAGAATAGTATGCTCCTCTCCCTTCCTCCCTTGCCATTTCCCAAAGCCTAACAAAAACAAACCCCCAGCTATCCCGTCCACCTCCCTTGGTACGGCCTCCTCCTCGCCCTCTGTGTCTGCGGCACCTTCTTCGTGCCGATAGGCATAGTAATGGCCATAACAAACCAGCAATCCAGCATCTTCCTAATCTGTCAGCTAATCTGCGGAACCCTTTTCCCGGGGCGCCCAGTCGCGAACATGGTCTTCGTGACGTACGGTTACATAACTGCCACCCAGGGCCTGAAGTTCGCAGCGGACCTGAAGCTAGGCCACTACATGAAGATCCCCCCGCGCCTGCTCTTCTCCGTGCAGATGGCAGCGACGTGCGTCTCCTCATTCACGCAGATTGGCGTGTTAAACTGGATGTTTGCCTACATCCCGGGTCTGTGCACACCCCAGGCGATGAACGGCTTCACTTGTCCCATTGCTAGAGTACATTTCAACGGGAGCATATTATGGGGCGTGGTTGGACCCGGGCGCTTCTTTGGCAGGGGTGAGTTATATAGGTCGCTTATGTGGGCTTTCGTCGTGGGTGCTTTCACCCCCATCATTCTGTTTGCGGTGTATAAATATGCTGGCAGGGGCGGGAATTCTAGAAGGACGAAGGTGGCGTGGTTGAGGAAGGTTAGCTTGCCTGTTGTGTTTGGGAGTTTGAGTTGGATCCCGCCTGCGGTTTGTTTTCTCCCTCTCTCCCCTCATTCTCCCCCTTCCCATCCTTTTTTTTGATGGGCTGACTGGGATGCTTATGGCTCTATAGACCGGGTTGAATTTCTCGACTTGGGTCATTGTTTGCTTCGCTTTCAACTACTACATATTCCGACGGGCGCCCGGTTGGTGGGGGAAGTATACCATGACGTTGTCCGCTGCGTTGGACGCGAGTCTTGCCGTGGGCCTAGTGGTTGTGTTCTTTGGATTTGTTTACCCCGGCTGGATGGAGGGTTTTAGTTGGTGGGGGACTGAAGTATACAAACGTGGATGCGACTGGAAGGCATGTGCCTACCTTGAGGTACCCGAAGGGGGGGTATTCGGGCCTAGCAGGTGGTGATGATATTGTCCCTTTTCTTCATCTCTTGGGCTTTGTCTCTATATTCGAGGATTACACGCATAATACTCTAGGAGATTAGGGGAAGGAAAAGTGTTTCACGGGATGGAACGGATCGGTTGAGATAGCGTGGTTTGTTAGAATATAGATTCCATAGTGGCATAGCATTTCCTATCGTATCGTGTGTTTGGGTTTCCTTCCTTCCTTCCTCCCCCCCGTTCACCCCTCTCCTTCAGCTAGATAATACCCTCCTGTACCCCCCGTACCCCTCATACACATCGGATCCACCACCCCCGTCCCCATTCCCGGATTTACCGGACTAACATTATCAACTTGCCCATCATTTGCTATTCTACCAGAGCGCCCTTGATCCCATCCCTCCCCGATAACCGCCGCGCCAAGTCCCCGCCCCCCTCGCCGCCGATGGCTATGCCGGCCGTATTATTAAATTGGCCTTGGATTTTTTCTGCTATCGTGGTTGCAGGAAAACTAGGTGAAGGCAGGAGGGGGCGGTACCTCCAGCGCCGTGCCACTCATCCCCCTGTGGATTAAGAAAGAGAAAATATCATGTCAAATAAAAAGAAGAGTGAGCTGGCTTGGCGTGCGGGCTGGCGCTGAAAAGTTTCTTCCACGTCTCCAAAACCATCCCATTTGCAACGGGTATACTGGGAGACCAGAGCACAGTGGACCGCTATCTTAACATCGCCACCTCTTTCATCAATTTCATTTCAAATCATATTTCTCACTATTCCTCCCAGTTTGTTTTCCTTTTCCTCTCCCTATTGATAATTCTATACTGCTTAATTAGTACATACGATACAGGCTTGTACCTATAATGCTAGGTTATTTATTGAATACAGCTCATACTATTAATTTTGCCAGGGATGGAGTATTGGATAAAGTATCAACGGAATGAGACTTGGAGCCAAGATGGTACCAGATTGAACCTGGTATCTATAGTAGTAAAAATCTTTTCCACTTTAGCAAGCAGCGTTCAAAAGCCAAGGCTTGAGGTTGTACCAATCACACTATATTACCACATATTCTATTTTCAGCTAGTCTACTGCCTGCTGTTCTTCTGATGTCCCAACTGCAGCCAATCAGAGTTCAATTTACTGGGAACATGATTCTGAAAATAGTGATGTAAAGATTAAATTTCTTTATATATGGTTGAAGTTTAAAAATTAAAATAGAGGAAGAGGACATGTTTGTTCTCTGGAAAAGAGATTAGAGATATGAGTAACAATATTGGATTTCCTCAAGTTTAAAAATATCCTAGATGTTGACAATAATAACAAATAAGTTAACTTCATTCATAACATTTTACTTTATTTACTGAACAGAATTATGTTTTTAAAGTATTGATTTTATATTGTCTTATTCAAACTTGTCTTCCAATACATACTTAGTCCAATTCATAAGTAGGTTGTAATAATTGTATTTGTTAGGTTCTATGAAGTATGAGGTAGTCTCATAGTAACCTTTAAGTAAAGATCAAAATTCTCAGCAATTAAACCTATTCTACCTTTTAATGAAATTATAAGATGTCTGAAAAATTATCTAATATAGTAAGTAGAGAAGATTGTAAACCTAACTGGCATTGTGGAAGTCAAGTTTGTACTTGAGTTAAATTAGTTAAGAGGTTATACTATGGTCAAATATAATATAAAATTATAACTTAAGTATATTGTAAATGTTTCAGTCATCAGACTGGTAAAGTTATTTGAAAATCCAATGTATTAGTATCCTGCTTACTACCTTAGTGTTAGTAAGTTTACTAAGAAAAAATGTTCTAACTTTATGTTCAAGAATATGATTTATAGGTTTAATTTAAGTTGAAATGAGCTTACTTACTACTATAGAAAGTATTGTCATAATAGAAGGGAAGGTAATTTTATTAGTACAATTTCAAATATGTATTAGTATAGTATATAGTAGGTCTATTAGTAAGTTGTACTTCTATTCTCCATCACTCCTATTTTATACTCCATCACTTGTATTTTCCTCCTACATAGTTTGACAACACTACTAGTGTCAAGGTCACTGTAACGTGTTCACAAGGTGCTAATCACAGTATCGGTTAAAGGTACGATAGCTGACAGGTGGCCTGCTCTACCAGAGAGGAGATTAGAGCTGCAAACTAAGGGAGGCTTCAAGGATATACTGGGAAAACAAAAGTGTAACCGTTCAACCAAGTATATTGAAATACTGTTTGTCGAAGTCTGCCTTTTCCATTGTGGAATCATTCAGTTATTCAATACACAAATTTATTCATGTCTAGTATAAACAAAACTAATCAAACGTATTAAGCAATACACTTTGTTAAAACTACTTAAGTAACAAAACGATACTTAAAGCAAAACATAAAACAAAACCAGGTATTAAAAGATACTTAAAACAAACCAAGTATAAAGACGATACTTTAAACAAAACATAAAATAAAACCAAGTATCCTTACAGGTTATGAGAAGCATTACCTAAAGCTGAGAATTAAAATACCTAGAAGTCTATACAGGTATTTTTGAGTTCAAGTACAACTACTATCTATAGGAAAATGAAATCAATTTGATAGGAGTTGTACCTAAAAGGAGAGGTATAACCAATATAAATATACTGTTAGTTGAATTTATATTATGTTTAATTACAGTATTAGCTTTTATACTATATTTATTTTATATTTCATTACAATATTAGTTATAATACAAAATTTATTTTATATTTTACCTTTAGGAATTATTTAATACTTAAGTTGCTTTACTTGTTAATCTCATTCATACTAGATAGAAATAAATTTGTATATTTAAATACTACCTGTTTTCACAATGGAAATAAAAGATTTCAATAAATATTATTTCTGATATACTTGGTTGAATGGTTACTGTATTGTCTTCTCAGTATATCTTTTTAAAGTCTTTCTTAGTTTCACAGTCCTCACTAGTCTCTCTACTAAAAATTATAATTTGTTCAACTATCGTACTCAAAATATAATTAGCATCTAGTAAACATGTTAAAGTAGAAAGCTTTAATATTGTCAATCTGTATTCCTCTTATTATATATATTCATATCTGAGTATTCAAGTTGTAAAGTATATTTATAGTAAGTTAGTAATATAATAGGGGCTCCTTCTAGGAAGATGGATCCTGTGATTGTGACCACACTGAGATGAATTCTTCTGAGAACAAATATAATAAGATTTTAATGTCTGTGGCAGTAGAGTTTGAAGAAACAAAACAGTAAAACTTAATATTGTTAAGCCACAGCTTTACTCAATTAAGTTCTGAATTTAAGCAGTAGTTGATTGCCAGAGTAGAGGAGAACTCACATATACTTTAGTAGATTTCATATACTACTAGTTACACACAATTCCTACTCTGTGTTTACGAGCATCTAACTTCCTTTAAATGGCTAGCTAACCTCCATGAATTGGACCAAAGATCCCTGTAGCGAACTAACCTACACTGTGGTTTACTAATATCTACCCGATAGAAGTGTTTTAGCAGTTGTATTTACAATGCAACTGTAGGAGTAAAAATCTCTTGTTATTGCGGACATGTCAGTAGTGAGTTACCATGCTCAAGGAGATACAATACCAACTATGGAAATCTCTACCCAAATACACTTAGTCTTCTACAAGTATCCACAGTTCCTGAACATCTATCTGGTTCTATTCTATTCTATTTCATTATGGTTGCTGGCCACATAGCTTCCTTGATTAATCCCTTCAGAGGTTGACTACCAATAGGGGCTACATACAGTCAATCATCCTAGAAGTAGGTCTTATCATAACCTCAGACTAGTATCTCAGAGTCCTTAATGATTCTTGAATACTATTACACTTTCGAGGCAATGGACTTCAATTACCTCACCTATAGGCTTATGGTAACCTCATATACTACTTCTAAATACAAAGTGGTATTACTCTGTCAGTTCTAGTCCATTTTACATGAAACCACCTGGAGACTATTCTCCAGGTTTACCTCTACCCTATTCCATATTATGCAGACAGCCTCCAGTCAGACAGATGGTGTGAGTGTATGCAGTGTTACAGGAGCGTCTCCACTTGTAGACTTTTACTATACTTACAGCAACTTACTAGGCTGTAGCCCATGACACTAAGAACTTATAATTGGGCTAGAGGGTATATTAGCCACTACATCTCCAAGTTACAGCTTGCTCAGAGCTCAACTGGTTGTGGGAGAGTGATTCACACAATTTAAAATTCAAACACTCAATTTTAGTCTCTTATGACAAATAATCTAGTAACTTTCCCCATTGTCCTACATAGTAAGCTACTTTCAAGATAGAGTAACTTGGTTCCATAGTAGGGTAACTCATGGCCTAAGGCAGGGTAACTCAAGTCTGAAGGTAGGGTAACCCTACTTAGACTTACCGTTGAGCAATTCAGTGTAACTCCTAAATTGACTACTTGGATTACCCTACCTAGTAGGGTAACTACTGCTCCTTAATAGTACTTCTGTACTTCTTAGTATAGTATAGTATATCCGACTGAGGTACCTAACCAACTGTACCTCTACTCAGTCGACTATAGTCTAACACCATTCCTACCACTGTAGTTTGTTGATACTTGTATGAGTATAGTTTTAGCTAACTGTAATAGTATTCTGTAAAGTCTTATTACAAGTAAATAGATAATACTTCTGCTATTGCTGTTTTTTGTTTCTTCCAGAAAAAAACAATTTTCAGGAAGTAATAATTAGACATTTTTAAAAAAGTTAACAGCACCAACTATATAATTATTAAATTTTCTATCAATTCTTTCTGAATATCTTAGCCCTTCTGAGTACAACTCACTTACTCTATCTCATTATATTTACTAGCTAAATGTTTCCTACTTGTGGAACATACAGTCACTCTTCATAAGTGGTCGTGATCTGAGACCTATTTAATTAGCAAGTATGCTACACCATGCCGTGGTGGAGTACCCAAGTGGGGTGTAAATGGGCATGTGCATGAACAAGTGAAGCAATCAACCAAACGAGCT